TTTAAGTTATAGGCTCTTTTCCCAACGAGATCAAGTAGGAAAAAAAAAATGTGAACTTACCATATGTTAAATGTATTCATTCATTTCTTCATTGAGCATGTGCTCCTGCCTGCTATGCCTAAGGCATTATGCCAGGCACTGCGATACCAGGGCAAATAAGACAGAGCCAGGCCCATGAGTTCCTCATACTTTAGCAGGCACCCACACCAGTTATAGCAGTAAAGTGTTATAGGTACATGATAGAAATCTGCATAGTCATTACAGAAAGGGCCCAAAAAGCCACAGCTGGGTTCAACCTGTGGAAGCTCAAACTGCTCAGAAGAGATGAGAAAGAGTGACTTGGCCAAAAATGCATGATATTTCAGATACATGTCCAAGCATCACTTTTCTATACAGTCTGTCATTAAGGGAGTAATGTGTCCAGATACAAAATAATTTGTTATTTCTGGCAGTAATAACAGGCATGCTTAGTAGCTATGGTATTGGCTCAATCAATATGTGTGAGATGTTTTTAATTGAGGTTGATGATTTATATTTTCTTCTACAGAACAGTTCACAATTACTGACAAACATTTCTAGTTCTCAGCTAGCTGATCTACAAATAAAACAAACCAGTGGTTCAACTCATTCTGCAACAATCTTCTAGCCCAGTGCCTACCAAATTTGCACACCCTAGAGCTGTGACTTCACTATTTAAGACATATCTGGTGAAATCTGAATATGGCCTGATCTGATTTGGATTTCTGTCCTCACCCAAATCTCACATTGGATTGTAATCCCCAGTGTTGAAGGAGGGGCTTGGTGGGAGGTAACTGGATCAATGGAGGCAGACTTCCCCCTTGCAGTTCTTATGATAGTGAATGAGTGCTCACAAGATCTGGTTGTTTAAAAGTTTGTAGCACTCCCCATTTTGTTCTCTCTTCCTCCTTCTCCAGCCATGTAAGATGTGCCTCCTTCCCCTTCACCTTCTGCCATGATTGAAGGTTTCTCAAAGCCTCAACAGCCATGCTTCCTGTACAGCCTGCAGAACTGTGAGTCAATTAAGCTTCTTTACCCAGTCTCAGGTAGTTCTTTATAGCAATGCAAGAATGGACTAATACAGAAAAATGGTACCAAGAGTGGGATATTGCTATAAAGATACCTGAAAATGTGGAATTGATTTTGGAACTGGGTAATGGGCAGAGGTTGGAACAGTTTGGAGGGCTCAGATGAAGACTGGAAGAAGAGGGAAAGTTTGGAACTTCCTAGAGACTTGTTGAATTGTTGTGACTGAAATGCTGATAGTGATATGAACAATAAAGTCCTGGCTGAGGTGGTCTCAGATGCAGATGAGGAACTTATTGGGAATTGGAGCAAAGGACACTTTTGTTACACATTAGCGAAGAAGTTGGTGGAATTTATATTTAAAAGGGAAGCAGAGCATAAAAGTTTGGAAAATTTGCAGCCCAGCCATGTGGTGGAAAAGAAAAACCCACTTTTTCTTGGTAGGAATTCAAGCCAGCTGCAGAAATTTGCATAAGTAAAGAGGAGCCAAATGTTAACAGCCACAACAATGGGGAAAATGCCTAGAAGGCATTTCAGAGACCTTTGTGGCAGCCCCTCCCATAACAGGCCCAGAGGTCTAGGAGGGAAGAATGGTTTTCTGGGCCTAGCCCAGAAAAGTTAGAGCAACCTTGGTTGAGCAAAGTTGCTCAAACCCTGAGCAACCTTGGGACACTGCTCCATGTGTCCCAGCCACTCCAGCTCCAGCCATGGCTAAAAGGGCCCCAGATATGTCTCCGGCCACTGCTCCAGAAGGTACAAGCCATAAGCCTAGGCTGCTTTCATGTGGTGTTAAACCTGCGGGTGCACAGAGGGTGAGAGTTGAGGCTTGGAAGCCTCTGCCTAGATTTCAGAGGATGTATGGAAACACCTGGATGTCCAGGCAGAAGTCTGTTACAGGGGCAGAACCCTCATGAAGAATCTCTACTAGAGCAGTTCAGGCGGGAAATATAGGGTTGGAGCCCCGATACAGAGTCCCCACTGGGGAACTGCCTACTGGAGCTGTGAAAAGAAGGTCATTGTCCTCCAGATCTCAGAACGGTAGATCTACCAACAGCTTGCACCATGTGCCTGGAAAACCCACAAGCACTCAATGCCAGACCATGAAAGCAGACAAAGGGGCTGTAGCCTGCAGAGCCACAGGGGTGGAGCTGCCCAAGGCCTTGGAAGCTCACCCTTGGGAGCTCACCCCCTGTATCAGTGTGGCATGGATATGAGACATGCAGTCAAAGGAGATCATTTTGGAGTTTTAAGATTTAATAACTGCCCTGCTGGGTTTTGGACTTGCATAGGGCCTGTAGCCCCTTTGTTTTGGCTGAGTTCTTTTGGAATGGGTGTGTTTACCCAATGCCTATACCCCCACTGTATCTTGGAAGTAACTAACTTGTTTTTTTATTTTACAAGCTCATGGGCAAAAAGGACTTGCCTTGTCTCAGATGAGACTTTGGGCTGTGGACTTTTGACTTAATGCTGAAATGAGTTAAGATTTGGGGGGACTGTTGAGAAGGGATGATTGTGTTTTGAAATGTGAGAAAGACATGAGATTTGGGAGTGACAGGGATGGAATGATATGGTTTGGATTTGAGTCCTCACCCAAATCTCATGTTGAATTGTAATCCCGACATTGGAGGAGGAGCCTTGTGGAAGGGTGATTAGATCATGGAGACAGACTTCCCCCTTGCCATTCTCATAATAGTGAGTGAGTTCTCACAAGATCTGGTTGTTTAAAAGTGTGTAGCACCTCCCCCTTTGCTCTTTCTTCCCCGCTTCTCCAGTCATGTAAGACATGCCTGCTTCCCCTTTCCCTTCTGACATGATTGTAAGTTTCCTGAGGCCTTGCCAGCCACGCTTCCTATACAGCCTGCAGAACTGTGAGTCAATTAAACCTCTTTTCTTTATGCCTTGTCTCAGGTAGTTCTTTATAGCAATGTGAGAACAGATTAATGCAGGATTTTTGTTTAGTTAGTAATATTATACTAATGTTAAGTTTCTTAGTTGGGAAATTATACTATAGTTATACAGATATTAAAACTGGGGAACTTGAGGAAAGCGAGATATGGGAATACTCTGTACTAGTTTTGCAACTTTTCTATCAATTTAGAATTAGTTTCAAGTTAAAAGTAAATAAATGTATGTACATAGATATAAATATAGATAGGTATATGAATATATTTCCATTTTTATGAGATCAGTGCTACTCAAAGTGTGTTCCACAAACCCTTTATTACCAATCATAGACAAGCTAAAGCTAAATATAGAAAATGGAAGCAAGCATTTAGAAACTTTTATAACAATTTGACATTTCTAAAATATTTAAGCATATGATTCTTTTCCTAGAAGTTCATTTTTATCACATTTTTTAAAAGCATCAGTCTGTATTAGGATTCTCCAGAGAAACAGAGCCAACAGGATATGTGTGTGTGTATATGTATAGATAGGGATTTATTTTAAGGAATTGGCTCATGTAATTGTGGAACCAAAATCCAAAGAAATAGGATGGGGTAGACCAGCAGGCTGGAGATTTAGGGAAGAGATGCAGAGTCCAAAGGCAGACTACTGACAGAATTCCTTCTTGCTCAGAGGAGGTCAGTCTCTGTTCTCTTAAGCCCTTCAACTGATTAGATGAGGCCCATCCACAATATGAATCATAATCAGCTTTACTCAAAGTCTACTGATTTAAACATGAATCTCATCCAAAAACCACCTTCACAGAAATATTCGGAATAATATTTGACCAAATATCTGGGCACTGTAGTCCAGATAAGTTGATGCATCAAATTAACCATCATCTAGTCCATGACAGATTAAAAAATTAAAAAGAAAAAGAAAAGTTCTACATTGGAGATATTTTGAGAAGCTTTGTGTCATATAACTTTTAGTAGTCTACCAAATGGTTGTATTAATTTAAAAATTCACACTAAGATTGCTTATTTCACATGGGAACAGGGAAAAATTCTGGGAGCAGTGTCCTGGCTGGTGTGGGAAGAGGAGGATCTAACCACTTTTTAATTCTGACCAACGAGCCTGAACCATTAAAATCTACCTTTGTATTGCTCTAATTCAGAGTTCCCAAACTGTCTCATGTCACAGCATTTTAGTATCCCTGTAATTTTTTCACAGAGTCCCTAGGCAAAAGGAAATACTTACTCAACATTTCATTTATCCAGTAGTTAGGTCCCAACAACTTAGTTGTTTGAAAAAAATAATACACATAAATCGAAAGAAAAAAATTTATTTCATTCTTAAATACTCAGTTACTTTTAAAAGGATGTGTATGCCTGAGGTCAAGAGATTGAGACCATCCTGGCCAACATAGTGAAACCCTGTCTCTACTAAAAATACAAAAATTAGCTGGGTGTGGTGGCACGCACCTGTAGTGCTAGCTACTCGGGAGGCTGAGGCAGGAGAATCGCTTGACCCCAGGAGGCAGAGGTTGCAGGGAGCTGAGATCGCACCACTGAACTCCAACCTGGCAACAGAGTGAGACTCCGTCCAAAAAAAAGAAAAAGGGTTGCATATGCCAATTGGGCACCAAATATCTTTTCAAATCTTGGAACCCATGTGGACACACGTGCCTTCACCTCCTATTCCACACTGATTTTCTCTGGGGACTTGCATTTTACAACTGCTGAAAACTCAGCTTCCCAAAGACAGGACATTTTTGAAAGAAATGTAGCACAATCTAATGTTGGAACAATGAACTACCTTGAGCTAATAGTTCAGTTGATATCCAAGAGATGTCAAGTGCCACTGTACTTCCTTGATATTTAAAATGTGCCACAGCCCCCCTCTAAGTTTGCTGCAAAGTCTTGGGTGCTTAGGACACAGTTTGGGAGTCATGACTCTATTCTTTTCCCATTTTTAATTCCATTTTCTCATGTGCAAAATATAAGCATGTTCTTTAAGTGTCTAGTAACAACCTTTGTTAAACCTAAGGTTATGCAGAATATAACACTTACTGTTATGTCACAACTCTGAGCTTTCACTGCTAGCAATCACAAGGTTGTGTATTCTCTTTTCATTCTTTATCTGTGGTGAACATAGTAGACGAGACGACCTCCAGTGGCCAGACATCTCAAACATATGCCTAAGAGAGCATAACAAAATATTTTGCTTTGTATTATATTTAAATCAGAATACAGTTCTTAACTATGCTACTTTTTGACAGATAATTAGATCAAGAGTAAAAGCAGCACGAAAATACGTATAATTTGGTATACTTCTCACTAATGGTTAACCATTTTCAATCATGTCTTAATCTAATTCTGATTTATCTGACCAATTATATTTATTTCACTCACCCTAAATTCTTATAATTGTGGCCAAAAGTCCCTTAGATCATAAAAGTGACTCTGACAACAGTTATTTGGGGCTTACACACAGCTTGAAATCAAAAGCCTTTGTTTTCTTCCTCTGGGTCAATATCTCCTCATCATAACTGTTGTCATCATCATCAGAATATGAACTATTTATCTTGTTTGACTGGTGTCAACAGTTGGAGAAATTACTTCTCTCTGTCTCGTGTTTCTAGCTTTCTCCTGGTTGATTTTCCATAGGCAGAGGAAAGGAGAAAGCAAGAGAAAAATCTCTCACATCCCTGCAAGATTGTTCCTTCCTAACAACAACAAAAGACTTCCTCCCACCACCTTTCTGAAGCTTCTTTTATCTACTATTTACTAGCAGCTACATACATTGATACAACCTGTCTCTGATATTAAGCTCCTGTCTTGTAATGGAGACCATATTCCCTTTCCAGGGATACATCCAAGCTTATCAAAACACTTTTTGAAAACCTCTTTCATAATAAACAGAAAACAATTTTAGACGGTGGCACAGCGTGACTTCGCACCGTAGGACAGAGGTCTGATGCCCAAATGCCGTACAGTGGTACCCTACCCATGACCTCATTTTCACCAGCCTGATGCTGAACCGCCCCCTTCTTTCTTGCCGGGGCTTTTCTATAAACCAGTTGTCAACAAATATATTGGATTCTTTACACTTTGATCTACCTAATATTTTGAAAGAGGCACATTATTCACTCAACTCCAAGTTCCTTTCCAATTACCTGGCGGGGTTTGGTGGGGAGCAGTTAGCTGGATACCTGTTTGAAGCAGGTGTCCCAGAAGCCACCTTGCTGTGCATAGACGTCAGCTGGCATACAGCCTTCAGTAGTAAGGCTGATGGAAGATGCATAGTAAAAATTAAAAGCCTAGGAAAAGTACAGGCCCCCAAGCCAGAGCAGAGCAGTTGAGTGTTAGTTCCTTCTGAGAGCAGGGCGGGAACAATTTTTTGCCCTGCTCCTGGGGATAAAAGTAAAGTCTAAACTTTTTTGCAAAAGTGACTAATTCCCCATCAGAGAGCCTCCCGCGATTGCAGAGCTAATTTCGTGAGTCGTAAATGAAGGGTCTTTCAAAGTGAGAGCTGACAGAGGAAGAAACAGAGAAAAAGTAAAAGCAAATCCCTAAACATTACCCACATTGCAAAACAGAAGGGAATTTTCAGAAGCAATGAGAGAGAACGGCCCACCTCCAGATCTCCCTCAGACATGTTTTCTTCCTTCCTGACTCATCGAGTTTCTTTAGGAAAGCCTAGTGAGAAGGGATTATGAAGCAGGCAAGGGAGCCAGCCTTTTCTGGCAACACAGGGCATTTTGATTTCAGAATCTGCAAATCTTCAAGAACAGACCCGGTGTGCTAGTGTTCTAGGCTGGAGTCCAGCAGCAGTTCAGCTGCAGATGAAGCAAATCAGCTGGTTGGTGCTGTCAGCCAGAGACCCAAGGACTTTCCTGGTGCTACACCTCTCTGGAAGTTTGAAGACATTGGGACAGGTTTGCCTTCTGAAATGTGCAAATGTCACCAGCCGGGAATGGCACATGCCAAGAGGCATCTGAAAACAGATCTCCATCTGGCAATGGGCTAGGCTTCCTGGGACACAGATTAGAATAGTTTGAAACAAAGGGGCGGAAGCACCGGTTAAGCTTTTCACATATTGTTATGGCCTCTGGGTCACTTCCTGCCTTTGGAATTTATTTCCTTTCCAGGTTCAGCAAAATTCAATGAATGACAAGAAAGAGGTTGGGGTTTGTCTTTGCCTCCGGCCCCGTCAAGGGGCAGCTCTGCCTCTGTGAACTTGTACCTCTGCAGTGGTTACATCCTCCCGCGCTGTTTGTTCACACTGAGCTCAGCATGGGGGAAGCTTCAGGATGCAACAATAAATTAGGGAAGGGAGCCATCTCCAGTTGAGTCAGATAAATCCTCTTGTTCCTAGAAAACAGAAAAGGAAAGACTAGATTGGGAAGGGCAACAATGATGTTTTATCAAGGAGAGCTCTTTCTCACCAGCTCCCCATTCAGAGATGTGGCCGGCCTTGAAGGTAGGAGGCCGAACATGGCTCCATGCAGTCGCACCTCCCACCTCCTGGAGTCAGCCCGTAGACCAGATAGGTACACAGGACAGTGACGTTTGCTATATAACAGTGATCAGCTTTGTTTTCTTTTACCAGTATTTAATTTGCACTTTGCTCCAACAGGGACTTCAGGTAGCAATAACTGCCTTTCTGACAGCATTTTCATGCTCATTTTGGGCACTCTGAAGCTAACATGAATGCATATTGCAAAATCCTTCTGCAGCCCCCAGCAATCCCTGTACATCCGCTGCAGTTCTGCAGTGCAGAGACCTCCAGAGGCCAAGGCAGACCCTTTTGCCCCAACAGCTGCAGGACCCTATCAAAACTTAATGTGGTCCCTGCTGCCCCTGTCATTGCTTTGAGAAAGAGTGTGTCTCTCTGAATAGTGATCCACCATCATGAACAAGTTCCTTCTGAAAAGCCAGCTCATACAGCCCTTGTCAGGAAGAATCTCGTAGAGCCTGTCCACATGTCCAGAGTCCATCTCTCTCTAGACCGAGGGGTCAGAGTTCACAGCTTTAGAGAAAGGGGTCATTGTTGCCCCCACCTTTAGTCTAAACACAGCTAAACGAACAGCAAACACTATTGTAAATACAAAGGAAGTCGCAACTAGTGATCAGCCTTTCTCCTGGTGCCACTCGATCCCCCAGAAACAGGAACTAAAGCTTCCCTTCCATCAGTTTATAACAGTCTCTTTGCTCAAGGCTGCAGATGCCACCACTGTTGAGAGCTAGCAGTTACAGGGCTGCTGCCTTGGGTTAACACTGTGGCTCAGATGTCAATCAAATTGACCTTTTCAAATTGCACCAGCACATCTGGCATTCACAGAAATGGTCTCCTGTGACCTCCACAGCAATTGTTCCCAACCACTTCAGGAAGTTCCAGGGGAAGGAAGGAAGTAGGTAGGGCAGAGATGGCTGTATAAATACCAGGGTCAGGAACACCTGTAGAGTATGAAAGCAACAAGAAGTCTGCCCAAGAGTCCTAACTTTCCTCCACGAAAAAGCACTCTGTCAGATTCAGGCATTATGTTTCTGTATAAAAGTATAACCCAGGTCTGGGAAATTTGTAAATCATTACTTTGAAACTTTACAGAATCTGATCGCACAGGGCTGGCAGGGAGCCAGGAATCTGCATTTTTATCAAGCCCACCTGCTGCTACTAGTACAGGTGGTCTGTGGCTCAGACTTTGAAACACTGTGCTGTAAGGAATTGTGAGTCACTGTCAGGTTACTACAGAGGAACTGGTAAGACAGATGAAAATTGCACCTGGATTCCAGGCCAGGCTTTGGCAGTCTGTGTGATCGACCCTGGGTAAGACAATTTAGTTCTCTGAGACTAAAGGCCTCAGGGCTAGATGGAAGACCTTCAAAAATTTAGAAATAGGTTCTAAATTATGGCCCAAAGGCCTGCAAATTTGGAGCGCTGGTCCAAACAGAAGGACCAGGGTCCTCCAGGCATGCCCTGAACACTCACTGAAGTTCTTCATTGCTGAAAACTCCAGCAGCCAAGGTGGAACCTCTTGCCCAAGACTGTAGTCCTAGAACTCTGTGGTCATGGGATGCAAGAACTGCATCTTTGCTCTCAGCCATTTCCAAGTAGGAGAAAGGGAAAGAAAGAAAATTCTATTTATGTAGTACATCATATGGATTATTTTTTAAATTCTCACTTAACCCTTGTATCATTAGTCTCCTTCTGAAGATGAGAGAATTGAAGATCAAAGATGTGAAATAACTTACCCCAGTTCCCCCAGGTCTCATGGCTACAGAATGCTTGAACTGAAATTTCAATTCCTGACTTCCAAGATCCAGGTTCTATGTTCTTTCCACAAAACGATTCAGAACTGCAAGTTTTGCTGTGGCCGTTCTGAAGGCCTGGATGTTTGGAAACCCTCAAGATACCCTCACGTCTCCCTGACATCCATCCCATACCTGTTCACCACTCTACTTCAGAATCTCACACACCCTCAGTTTTTCCTCTATCCCTGACCTCCAGCTGATCCCTCAGCTGCACTCATTTCTTATCCCTACAACTTCTTGACTCCCAGTGATTAAAATACATCAGCTGCCACTTCTCCTGGGCTGAGGAGGATGTTTCTGGCCCACAACTACTCCAGCCACTGACTTCAAGATCAAGTCAACTGGGTCCTGGAGAACTCAGTGTATCCCTAAGGATTTCCATGAATTGAGAATCTTTAAATGAATGCTTAAGAGGTGTTTGTGCACTTACTGATTCTAACCCCCACACACACCTGCACACACACACAAACACGCACACACCACACCACACACACCCCACACCACACCACCACACACACCACCACACACACCACACACACACACACACACACACACACACACACACGCACACACACCTACACACACACACGCGCACACACCTACACACACACAAACACGCGCACACACCTGCACACACACACAAACACGCGCACACACCTGCACACACACACACACACACGCGCACACACACCACACACGCACACACACAAACACGCGCACACACACACACACACACAAACACGCGCACACACCGCACACACACACACACACACACGCACACCACCACACACACACACACACCACACCACCCACCACACACCGCACACACCACACACACACACGCGCACACACCACACAACACAAACAGCGCACACACCTGCACACACACACAAACACGCGCACACACCGCACACACACCACACACCACACACACACACGCAGCACACCGCACACACACACCACCACACCTGCCACACACACCGCACCACCACACACACACACGCCGCACACCACCCACACACCGCACCACCACACACACACACCACGCACACCACACACACACACGCACGCACACCAGCACACACACACACGCACGCACACCAGCACACACACACACCACCACACACACACGCACACACACCTGCACACACACACCACACACAAGCACACACACACACGCACGCACACCAGCACACACACACACGCACACACACCTGCACACACACACACACACACACCGCACACACACCACGCGCCACACCACACACAGCACGCACACACACCTGCACACACACAAGCACGCACACACACCTGCACACACACACACAAACACGCACACACACCTGCACACACACACAAAGAGATCTCTTCTCAACTCAGGGCAGAGACATAGGAAACCCCGGGAGAGAAACCAGTGCCCTTCTATTAGGAGATGACACATCACACCTCAACTTCCTAATAATAGTGATTATTCTGGGATGCTGGGCACCCCCTAGTGGGAGTAATGGAGAGAGAAGACAGACTGTTTTGATGCTGTTCTCAATAACCCATTCCACCCACAACTTCCTGCCCCTTCACTGCCTTCTCCTTCCAGCCCATCTCACTGCTCTTGGAATGACTCATTCTTCCCACGATGATTGGGCCTTTTGCCCCACAAAACCTTCCCTGTCTTTACAGACATAATGGACTAAAATTAAGCAGAAGGCAACGCTGGCAGAACAGCAGGAAAAGCTTCCTATGGGGAGAGCTCTTGAAATGCTAAAATGGCCTTATAAGGCAAACTAAGTAAGACCTAACTGCGCTGGGCAGAACAATAGAGAATATCTCGGAAAGATATTCTTGGAGATGAAGGGGATGAGGGAAAAGCCATTTCCCTGATTTCATACATTAATGCCCCCATCCAACATTCTCAGACTGATTTCATGACAATATAAATGCCCTGTGTACATCTAACCCCTTTTAAGGCCAAGAGAACACCCAACATTTATACATTTGAAATAAACAGATGAAGCCTGTCCCAGCAGAGTGGCACCTCATCCATGAACTGGGCACTACGTAGCACTGTGGGACATTCTGAACATTTGTGTACTAATACCCACTCTTTTCAAGGCCACTGCCATAGCTCCCCACGACAGGATGAGTCCTACTACGTTGTAAACAATAAAGTGTTTTCTGAGTGTTTACGTTATACTAGGCTTGAGATTCGTAAGCATTTTTAAGACATGCCCACGTCTAGTTCAATCCCTTCTCCAAACAAGAGCCTTAATAAAAGAAAGGGAGAGTAACAGATTTAAGTGCATGCGCTAAGAATCCTTCTGGGCATGTTCACAGTTCTTATTTTAGTTAAGTATTTGATAACTTGTTCACTCGGTAAGGGGCCAGCCAGTCAGTCTCATCTTGGGGACCAGTGCCTGTCTCTAGTAGATGTGACAATGATAGAGCACCCGCCTTCATACAGAGCTTTGGTTGTTATGATCTTATTCATTCCTAGATTTGAGTCATCAGCTCATTAGTGCCCATTCAACTTAGCCCTCCTCTGATGAATCCCCTAAAACCTTGCTCATAATTCTACCGATTCCAGCACAGGATTTTCTCTGCTATGCCTCCTGCTTCATCTGGAGCCTAGTGACTTGGACAGTCTAATCTCACAACTGCTTACAATGTTAATCCCTTTCATCTCTTCTTTTAGAACCATTTGGTGATGTTCATCTTTCTGACAACCAAGAACCTTGGAAGAATCTCTCGCCTCAGGCGCTCCTATTTTTGTGCCTAGCTCGGCCGCCTTCCAAATCACCAGAGGCATCATAGAATGCAACTCTCTGTGGAGGATTGGAGGACAAATTGGACACAAATTCATTGGACGGCTGAAGGAAAAAAGAAAGGTCAAGGATGCTCCGGCTTGGCCAGCCTCGCAGGCCTGACAGCAGAAGCTGAAATTCTTTCTTTTATAACTTAGGCTTGAATTAAAGTCCAGAGACCTTTGGCCTTCACTGCAAACAGAACACTCAGTGGGTGGAGCAAGGCTGTCTGGTGGCAGGAAGGGCATGCTGACCTCTGGCCCTAATGCCTTCCCTAACCTGGAAAGACACAAAAGCTGTGGTGAGTTAGCTGAGCCACCTGGAGCGCTCTGTCAGTATGCAGAGTGTTCTACATCATGTACAGGGTCCTGCTTTTGGAAAGAAGAGTGGCGATGTGTTTATGGGCTCAGAGAAGAAAACATATGGAGAGAAAATGAGATTTAAGAAGAATAAACCTAACTAGTGGCTGCTTTGGGTGTCTAGAAGACAAGAAAAAACTCAGAAAAGAGGCCGGAGTTCTGAGAGGCAGAGATAAGGGAACTTCTACTACCTCTGTCTCTATTTCAGAAGAGATAAAAACCAAATCATAAATCTAAAGATGAAGGTACATTCATCCGGGGAGAGGACTAAGCAAGCTGTTATATTTCTAACAACTATTAGGATTGCAAAAAGGAACACTTTTAACTTGCTAGTGGAAGCATTTCTTTCCTGCAAGTCACCTTGGATCAGATTAGACACCAAAGAGAAAATAACAAAAAATTATTCTTTTGTGCAGGCTAAGAAGCATTAATTTAGATTGTCTGTGCCAAGCTGGATTCCTGGTCCTGGATGCTTTCAAGAAAAAGTAAAAAGTGAAGCAACCAGAGCAGTTATGGGAAATTCAAGTGTGTGCTTTGTTGGTAAGGATGAGAACAGGGGAGTTCTGCTGGCCCAGAGCTGCAAACGAAATCAACGGTCTGCAGTTTGGGAGGTGACCAGAGGACCCAGACCACTGGATCAGGCGCTCAGAGAGCCAGCATGAGCCTTCAAGGCAGTGCTTGTGGGCAGGAGGACAGATCTAAGCTTCCTGCCACTGCCTATGGCAAGTTGGATATGTATCTGCCAGTATCCCCAAGCGAAGGAGTTGAGTTCTGTGCCAGCTGAAGCTCTCTCAGGAAGGACAGATAGGTAGCTCTCAGATGATGTCCAAGGAAACCAGATGAGGGCTTGAATTGTGGCCCGCGAAGAAGGGTGTGTAACACCTGAGGAGGCCAGATGGGGGTCAGGAGCATTCAGGGAGGGAAGAAGGGATGTGATGTGCCCATGAATGGTGGGTGTGAGCATGCCAGGGCCTAGACAATGTTTATGGAAGAGGTTTCTATCAAAACAGAATACAACGCACTCTTGCTGCCCTAAAACCTTTTCTCCAGCGGAGTTTCTGACTCTTTTAAAGCCACAATATAGGCCTGGCGCGGTGGCTCATGCCTGTAATCCCAGCACTTTGGGAGGCCGAGGCGGGTGGATCACCTGAGGTCGGGAGTTGGAGACCAGCTGACCAACATGGAGAAACCGTGTCTCCACTAAAAATACGAAATTAGCCCGGCATAGTGGTGCAGGCCTGTAATCCCAGCTACTCAGGAGGCTGAAGCAGGAGAATCACTTGAACCCGGGAGGTGGAGTATGCGGTGAGCCGAGTTCATGCCATTGCACTCCAGCCTGGGCAACAAAGAGCGACACTCCATCTAAAAAAAAAAGCCACAATATAAGGACATTCTCAGGAACATTGAAGCTAAGAGGCTATAGATTGAATAAGATGGCCAAATATGCCACACGGAGCCAAAGAAGCAAGGCAAGCCTCTGCCGAGTCCCATTTGACATGAAGAGGCAGATGCCGATGTTTCCGAATCATAGTAACCAAAGTTAAAGGAATGACTCCAGGTCATCACTTCCTTGATTTCCCTTCCCTCACTTCTGGGACGGTCTTAAACCCCTCCACAGTGTCTTTCCACCATTTATGTCCCCCCTTGCCTTTCTTCCACTTATTCCCAGTGGTAAGCGGGAGCCAGTTTATACCGCCTCCCAACTCCGGGTTCAGTAACTTACAATCAGCCACGATAGGAGTGTTTATGCCTTAGAAATTGGAAAATGCTGCAAATCAGAGCTTTCTGTTCTTTTCTGGAGAGCCAGTTGTTAAACAGCTCCCAGTACATCCTGCCTGTGACTGAGAGTTTTTGCGTGGGAGGAAGAGGCTGTGTACTGAGGCGGACAATGTTAGAAGTCTGGGGAGGGGAACAGAGAAGCCCAGAGTGCTGGGAGGGAAGTGGTGAATTGCCAAGATTGGTTCTGCCTCCCTCACAGACACACACACGCTAGACCCAATCCCAGCCTTGGGTTCAGTATTTAACAGTCATTCAGTAAGAACATGTTCCATATCTACAGGGATGTGGAGGCAGCTTTCTATTGATTTGGAGGGCTGGATACCTTCCTACTCGAACATTTTTTGAGGTTTATGGTACAGAATATAATAACCTAGGTACACATAGTATACATTCT